CCTCCCCCCCATATATCACACAGCTCCCCCCGGGTACCTCTGCCCCATTCCGCCATCTTTGTTTCTTGCTGTTGTGACGTGTCCGGATCTCTCCTCTGGTCATGTCAGCGCACTTCGGTGACGTCACTGCCCGCAGCCAATCAGCAAGCAGAATCCATCGACTCCGCCTGTTCGCTTAGCCCCGCCCCGCCCTTGGAAACCCTCCGGTTGCTATGGAGACCTTGGGCCACTGTCACCCCCTATAGATTGATGGGGCACAGTCCAACCCACTCCAAATACTTTATATAATATTATATACTCAGATTATATCTTATATATTATATTATATATTTATACTTTATTTACATTATATATTTATAGTTTATTTATATTATATTCAGATTATATATTATATTTATAGTTTATTTATATTATATTCAGATTATATATTATATTTATAGTTTATTTATATTATATTCAGATTATATATTATATTTATAGTTTATATTATATATTCACATTTTATTTACATTATATATTTATATTTTATTATATATTATATTATAGATTTATAGTTTATTTATATCATAGATTCAGATTTTATTTACATTATATATTTTATATTTTATTATATTTACAGTTTGTAGTTTTAGTGGATAACTACCTTTAGGTTGAATTTACTAATATAAAATAAAATGGGCGCTCAGAATACATTTCCCCAATGCGTTATGTAACGTATAGATTTTAGTTTAAAGAGCTTCTAGGACTTGGTCCGTCCCCGACGTGTTAATTCTCAGCATTCTGGCAAAGCATCATGGGAGATGTAGTCTATAACATCTGGAGTGCCGAAGGTTGCCTAACCCTGGTCCATGCCAATAGTGGAGTGACTGGCGATAGCCTCAGAACCCTCCTACTGTCCCCGAGCTTGCAGACTCTGCAGCGGCTATAACGAACGCCATGAGAACAGTCTTTATGTTCGTTAACTTGTCACAAGTCGCTAGACAATGCATGGACGAAATTTAATTTATCATTCAAACATGGAGGCCCGCAGCTGCTAACTGTATACATGGGTTTCCTCTATGCGACTTAGTGTTCCCCTGCCAACCAGGAATTTGGGGTTGGGTAGCATAGTCATTACAGCCCAGTTTGGTGGGTTTGTAGCCATACACTATGGGTGCAGTTCTCTTTTATTTACTTTTTGTCCAATCGTTTGGTGTTATTGAGAGCCCTGTTTTCTTACCACTCCCAGAGACTGCCACCGGTCCCGCTGACTCTGTTATGTGGGATTTGTTATATCAACGCTGTCCATCATGACTACCAGTGATAGGCTGGGAGTGCTGGGCTAACTCTGCCCATATCGCATGAAACTGATGTCTATTAAGTGAAAGTGACATAGTGTGGGGCAGCAGGCTGTAAGGGATGGGGCAGGCTGTGGGGGCAGCAGGCTGTAAGGAATCGAGCAGGCTGTAAGGGATGGGGCAGGCTGTGGGGGAAGAAGGCTGTAAGGGATGGGGCAGGCTGTGGGGGCAGCAGGCTGTAAGGAATCAGCAGGCTGTAAGGGATGGGGCAGGCTGTGGGGGAAGCAGGCTGTAAGGGATGGGGCAGGCTGTGGGGTGCTTTTGGCAGGCTGTAAGTGGATGGAGCAGGCTGTGGGGCAGTAGGCTGTAAGTGATGGGGCAGGCTGTAAGGGATGGGGCAGGCTGTGGGGAAGCAGGCTGTAAGGGATGGGGCAGGCTGTGGGGAAGCAGGCTGTAAGGGGATGGGGCAGGCTGTGGGGCAGCTGGCTGTGGGCGTGGATGGGCAGGCTGTGGGGGCAGGCTGTAAGGGATGGGGCAGGCTGTGGGGGAAGCAGGCTGTAAGGGATGGAGCAGGCTGTGGGGGTAGCAGGCTGTAAGGGATGGGGCAGGCTGTGGGGCCAGCAGGCTGTAAGGCATGGAGCAGGCTGTGGGGGCAGCAGGCTGTAAGGGATGGAGCAGGCTGTGGGGGTAGCAGGCTGTAAGGGATGGAGCAGGCTGTGGGGGTAGCAGGCTGTAAGGGATGGGGCAGGCTGTGTGGGATGGATCGTGTGTGTGGCAGGCAGGCTGTAAGGGATGGGGCAGGCTGTGGGGGGAGCAGGTTGGGGGGGTACATATTGGGGTTGGGGGGGGGGACAGGTTGAGGTGGAGAGGTTGTGGGGAGGCTGTGACAATCCTCCTCAAATTGACATACCATTTCCCTGGTGATCCAGTGGGATCACTCTCCTGTCTGCAGCTCCGCCGGGAGTGAGCTGCAGACCACGTGGTTCGAGTTCTCGCGAGCTCCGGTCAGAGGATTGCTGTGGTAACCTGCGGCAACGCTCTCTCAATCAGGGAAGAGTGAGTGTAGGGACTGCACCCGGCAGAATGCAGGGCAAGACGCCTAACACAGCTCAGTGTCTGGGCCCTGCCTCCAAATCCCGGACATAGGAATACACACACACACTGATACAAAAGGACACAGATACACACAAAAACACACATACTGAAACAGACATACATACTGACACACACACCTACAGAAACAGACATACATAATGACACAGTATATATATAAGAAATTAAATAGAGAACCACTTAGATTTCAGTATAAGTTGCAATTAAAGGAACACTACACCCTGTTCAAAATTAATTATGCAAATGACATTTTTCTCATTTACCGAAATAATTGATGTAAATAACAGCATAATTCTCATGTTATCAACTATTAAGAGTACAATTCAAATTTTATTTAACAAACCTCCTAATGATAACAGTATTTTTACACATAAAAAACTTACAATGCACTGTTCCAAATTATTACGCACAGTAAGTTTCAAAACACTTTATAGGTTGTAAAGAAATTAAAATTGTCATTTGTTGTGTTTGCAGCATATTTACTGAAATCAAAAGCTATTTCAATCAAACTTATAACAACATTTTAACTTTTTAAACATTTTAACAGGTCACGTTACGTTTTAACACAGGACCCCTTATTTGATAGCAGATTCACAAGTCTTGCATCCATTAAACTTGTGAGTTTTTGGACAGTTTCTGCTTGAATTTGTTTGCAAGATGTCAGAATAGCCTCCCAGAGCTGCTGTTTGGATGTAAACTGCCTCCCACCCTCACAGATCTTTTGCTTGAGGATGCTCCAAAGGTTCTCAATAGAATTGAGGTCAGGGGAGGACCATGACTTTCTCTCCTTTTATCCCCATAGCAGCCATTGATGCAAAGGTATTCTTTGCAGCATGAGATGGTGCATTGTCATGCATGAAGATGATTTTATTACGGAAAGCATTGTTCTTTCTTCTGTACCAGGGAAGAAAGTGGTCAGTCAGAAACTCCACATACTTTGCAGAGGTCATCTTTACACCAGCTGCTTGTGAGCATTGGTTAGTGGTGGCCGAATAGAAGGTTTATGCACAGTTGCAAGACTCTGGAGGACTCTACACCTTGATGTCTGTGGGACTCCAGAGGCAACAGCAGCTTCAAATATCTGCTTGCTGCTATGTAATGGTATTTTAGCAGCTGCTCTCTTGATCCGATGCATGGATCTGGCAGAGATCTTCCTCAATGTGCCTTTATCTGCACAAACCCATCTGTGCTCTGAAATCAGCCACAAATCTCTTAATAGTGCGAGGATCATGCTTATCCTCGTGAAACATCCAATGTTTTCATACCTCGTCCAAGGCATTGAACTATTTCACTCTTTTCGGCAGCAGAGAGATCCTTTTTCTTCACCATATTACATGAAAATGGTGCTCTGCTCCTTTAGTAGTTTTTCCTTAAATTGGGCTCACCTGGCAATCTAATTATCACATGTATCAGAGATTGTTTTCAGTGATCAAAAGAGCCCTGAGACACAATGCCATCCATGAGTTAAACTGAAAACCAAAATATTTAATCTTTGTGACACTTAAATAGAATTTGCATAATAATTTGGAACAGGGTGTATATGGTCAGGAACACAAACATGTATTCCTTACCCTATAGTGTTAAAACCACGATCGGACCCCCTGTCCCCCATATGTCACTGTAAATATAGTGAAATCTTAGTTTTCTTCCACTCTGCTCCTGTCTCTGATCTGCCTGCTTGGCTGACATCATCAGAGGTGATTCTCTGAGCCAATCACAATGCTTTCCCATGGGATTGGCTGAGACTATCAAGGAGGCAGCTAAGGGGCAGAGCCAGCACAAGTCAAACAGCCCTGGCCAATCAGCATCTCCTTTTAGAGACTAATTGAATCAATGTATCTCTATGAGGAAGGTTCAGTGTCTGCATGCAGAGGGAGAAGATACTGAATGTTTGGATGCATTTTAGGCAGCCATGACCAAGGAAGGATCTCTAACAGCCATCTGAGGAGTGGCCAGTGAAGTTATCACTAGGCTGTAATGTAAACACTGCATTTTCTCTGAAACGACAGTGTTTACAGCAAAAAGCCTGAAGGTAATGATTCTACTCACCAGAACAAATTCAATAAGCTGTATACCGTACATTAAACTATATACTGGACAATAAGCTGTATACTGGACAATAAGCTGTAGTTCTGGTGACTGTCTCTTTAAGTTAACTTTTTGTATTGTTTTTTGAGGGCTATTTTGAACCACCTGCCTATTTCCTGTACTATCACTATATATTCAACTGTAGATAATTATAATATATTATGCAAACTGACCTTCATTTCTAATACTAAAATAAAAAAATACTTGCCATTCTCTCACCCACCCACATTCCCCTCACCAGAATCACACAGCATTTGCTTGTTGTCTCTTCCCAGAAGGATATCTGTGCCATAGTTGGTACATCCTATACATGTCGCAATGAAAGATGGAAAATGATGTTCTGCCATAAACGAGGATAGATACAAATATATTAAACTTTATTATCCTTTTTATGCCATAATAGAAAGGAAGGGTTTTTTTTAACACTTGGAGTGCTAAAGGTGGTCTAGCCCTGCACTATAATACATCTTACATACAATAATATTAACATAACGCAAGACATATCAGTAATACAGTGACGTTCTGTTTATGGGCCCCGTCAAGGCTGTGCAAGAAGTTCCTCTACTTGTCGTTCACAGTTGTCCAGCTTTATCCTGTAAACACCACCATAGAAATATATATTTTATTATGGAAATAATTTCTTTAGTGTGTAGTTTCAAAAGTTATTAAAGGGTTACTCCCACCACCTTGATCAGTTCTGCTTTTTGAAGTGGTTATGGTGGTACGAGTCTGAATGTCTAGGATTTCAGCTTGAAACACTGCACATCCGAGATATGTTCCGAGGTGCTTAATGTCAATTCTATGTAGAATTTACGTCTGCTGACCGGCATAACCCTGAGGGAAGCCCTCTTGCCTCCCAATCTCATAGGTTATTTGTTTTAATTGCCCGCCCTCCCTGATGCTCCATGCCCTCCCTGATGCTCCATTCCCTCCCTCTTCCCCGTGTGGGCTAAGAGCCCTCTATGAGAAGCTTTGATTGGGCCTTGTGATGGATTGAGGTAAATCTTCTTTTAAAACACTCTTTAAATGTTTACTTTGGAGAAACAGGTACAATAATGCCAATAGGGCATTATTCCGTATCACAAAATATATATATAAAAAAAAAATCCTTTAGAGAATGGTGTTAATCACAATAACTATATACAATTACAATGTTACAATAAGGTAACATTCTTGTGCAAAAACTAAACAAACAGTATTATACGGCAGAGCTAGGTAAAAGGGTGCTATTTTATATTGTATTTTTATTTTTAGAAACTAACCTTTTTTTCCCCACTTCCCTGATTTCTGCAGCGATGTCCCTCGGCGCTGAGTTGGACTCATTCTTAGCCGATGTCACGAGTGCAGTGAGTGCCGCATGTGCATTAAACATTCTGCTTAGGAAAGCATTGAATTCATACTTTCCTATGGGGTTTTACAAGATGCTAGATTTTACCATTCAAAGTTTGAGGACGTCCAGCATCATTTCACGGACTTAAACTCTGTGAAATTGCAGGAAGCACCTCTAGTGGCTGTATGGGAGACAGCTACTAGAGGCAGGCTTAACCCTGCAATGTAAACACTGCCGTTTTACTAATAGTGAAATGTTTTACATTGCAGAGTTATGGGGACAGGGACACTGAACCCAGACCACTTCAATAAGATGACGTAGTCTAGGTGCCTGTAGTGTCCCTTTATGTTTAAGATCAGCCATTTTTAGCAACTAAAGCCAGTCTAACATGCATGATTGTTACCAGTGACACCATTTCCCGATATCTTGCTATGTATTTCTACTTTCTTACTTTTCCTTCTTTATCCAGCTCAGTCAGTTCACGTTCCCATCCCAAGAGTTGAGCAAAACGCTTGACTCCAGCGGTGACTTCTCCGATCTCTGCAACGTTTATCCCTTGATGACCACTTACGAATGGTCCAACAGGTTCTCGATTGATTAGGACACGAGGAGTGGAAGCCTTAACTGCATATACCAGACTTGCAAAAGGCTCAACCTGAAAGAGCATGCGTTATCATTGGAGATTTTGAAGGTTATCTGCACTGTTTCCATGTCAACTTATATTTTACCTGCCCATTATCCATTATCCAAAGATGCTGCACATTAAAAATCACATAGGTCTGGAAATAAGAATCAAATGGCAAAAATGCATATCATATCACATTATCTTTTTATCGTATTATATTGTTATACTATTATCATATCACATTGTCGTATTATCTTACTATCGTGTTATCGTATAATCTTACTATCGTATTATCATGTTATCTTACTATCGTGTTATAGTATATTATCGTATAATCTTACCATCGTATTATCATGTTATCTTACTATCGTGTTATCGTATTATATTATCGTATTATCTTACTATCATATTATGTTATCATTATCGTATAATCTTACTATCGTATTATCATGCTATCTTACTATCGTGTTATAGTATATTATCGTATTATATTATCGTATAATCTTACCATCGTATTATCATGTTATCTTACTATCGTGTTATCGTATATTATCGTATTATATTATCGTATTATCTTACTATCGTATTATGTTATCATTATCGTATAATCTTACTATCGTATTATCATGCTATCTTACGATCGTGTTATAGTATATTATCGTATTATATTATCGTATAATCTTACCATCGTATTATCATGTTATCTTACTATCGTGTTATCGTATATTATTATCGTATTATATTATCGTATTATCTTACCATCGTATTATCATGCTATCTTACTATCGTGTTATAGTATATTATCGTATTATATTATCGTATAATCTTACCATTGTATTATCATGTTATCTTACTATTGTGTTATCGTATATTATCGTATTATATTATCGTATAATCTTACCATCGTATTATCATGTTATCTTACTATCGTGTTATCGTATATTATTATCGTATTATATTATCGTATTATCTTACTATCATATTATGTTATCATTATCGTATAATCTTACTATCGTATTATCATGCTATCTTACTATTGTGTTATCGTATATTATCGTATTATATTATCGTATAATCTTACCATCGTATTATCATGTTATCTTACTATCGTGTTATCGTATATTATTATCGTATTATATTATCGTATTATCTTACCATCGTATTATGTTATCATTATCGTATAATCTTACTATCGTATTATCATGCTATCTTACTATTGTGTTATCGTATATTATCGTATTATATTATCGTATAATCTTACCATCGTATTATCATGTTATCTTACTATCGTGTTATCGTATATTATTATCGTATTATATTATCGTATTATCTTATCGTTATCATTATCGTATAATCTTACTATCGTATTATCATGCTATCTTACTATCGTGTTATAGTATATTATCGTATTATATTATCGTATAATCTTACCATCGTATTATCATGTTATCTTACTATTGTGTTATCGTATATTATCGTATTATATTATCGTATAATCTTACCATCGTATTATCATGTTATCTTACTATCGTGTTATCGTATATTATTATTGTATTATATTATCGTATTATCTTACTATCGTATTATGTTATCATTATCGTATTATCTTACTATCGTATTATCATGTTATCTTACTATCGTGTTATCGTATATTATTATAGTATTATATTATCGTATTATCTTACTATCGTATTATCATGTTATCTTACTATCGTGTTATCGTATATTATTATAGTATTATATTATCGTATTATCTTACTATCGTATTATCATGTTATCTTACTATCGTGTTATCGTATATTATTATAGTATTATATTATCGTATTATCTTACTATCGTATTATCATGTTATCTTACTATCGTGTTATTGTATTATCTTATTATCGGATTATTTTCCACCCCAGTGCCCAAGGGGAGGAAAATAATGTTTTAAAATATTTGGAAAACTATCAGTTATTCCTCAAAGTGTGAAAATGTCTCCAGGTTGGGTATTTAGGCTTAAATTTGAAATTCACACTTCAGTGAATAACCCTGTTTATATTTACTTAACCCCTCACCTACTCTGCTTGGGGTTTGTAAAAATGAGGCATCTTTGACCTCATATTGGTTATTAGGCAAATGCATTTTAAAGTTTAGATATCATTTCTTCTTACTTGCAAAAAACTTTTTTTCTTTGACAAATTGCTATGAAGCAATAATTTACATTTAGGATAAAGCTTGCGCAAACGGATCTAAGCGAAGACTTAAAATAACATTTCAGGATAAATTAAGATATAAAAACATTACAATGCTGATGCTCATTTGGTTAAAATAACAAAACCACACAACAGTTTTTTTTGATATCTCACTCCTCTTTAACTCTCTCTGACCTCCAGGGATGTGCCAATGACGAGCAGGAGATCAGCTTGTGGAAAGTCTACTAGATGCATTAGGAAGCGTTGTGGTAGATGTTCTCCGAAAAACACAATGTCTGGTTTGATGAGACCTTTACATAGTACACACAGAGGAACCCGTGACTCCAACACTGCATCCTGTAATGGGAGCATACCCCAAATTAAACACAATCGTAAATATGCCCAAGCAACACAGAAGACCGAACAAAGATGTAAGATTACGCACAAAACATTAGTACTGATTTTTGTCACAGAGACAAGAAACAATATTTTTGGAGCCGATAACACCTATACAGAAATATGTGCTGTCACTTTATTAAGCCACACTCTCTGTTGGGTGAAAGGGCTGTAAAAAAATGGTCTCCTGAGCTGCCAATAGCAAATGCAACGTATGCATTCTCTAGAAATATTTGTATGGGCAAAGGTTAAAGCATGGCTATAGGGGTTGAGTGGGGACTTGAAATTTGCACAAATCACTGCATCTACAATCTTACCCAGGTTTGAAAATGCAGTGATTTTGCTAATTGCTAAAGTGATAAGCAGCTGTGTGATATGGACAGGGGAACTCCTTGTAACATAACACAATGAGTATCCGTTGTTAAGTAGGTTGTTTGAAGCCCTGAACAGATAAACCATCTTAAATAATATGAAAACCTATTTTTGGAGTGAACATGGCAAAGATCCAGTAATGCTAAAATGGCTCACCTGGAAGGTCCTTCCTGGGTATGTTTTGAGGCACTTGGTGCATGTGGCTGAAGTAAATGACCCATGGGCTTCCACCAGCTTCTCCAGAGGGATGCCAGCCGCTGAAAGACAGAAAAACCTCAGGGAGGTTATGAGTCCTACATTTTGGACTGTCATGTAGTTTTAGTACAACAATAAAAGGGTTTTCTCGATCGTTATTTTCTCCTAATAACAAGACACTCTACCAGTACGAGTTTGATTTTTGAACCAGTTACAATGAGCCCTCTATTTTGTCAGATTTCTAGATCCTTTCTTTCTGCTGGCTAGCTTAATGCAAATTATTACAATGCGTAAAAAAATGAAGCAAGTGGATGCCATACCCCATACAGTCTAATAAACTTTTTATCTATGCAATACTGTTACGGCTTAATGGATGAGGAAGACAGACAGAATCTCCTTTATGTTCGATAAATTCTAAACATTGCACCCCATAGTCTCTTAACATCAGAGTCTCTCAATCACTCCTCCCTACAGTGCACTCTATTCCTCTCCTTTGTTATACACTACTTCCATCTTCTATGCTGTTTCACTAGAATCTCTAGACTCTTCCACTACTGTCCTATATAGTGCACCTCACTACTACTCTGGATAAGTACCAGAGAGATATCTTACAAGTGGGTATCTAAACCGCTGTATGCGGATTAACCTGGAGCTGGTTTAAGCTCCATTACAAGTGAGTTGGCAATTTACTTATGTGTTGTGTGTTCCGCATTTGAGTTTACATATTGCACTACTGGCTTTTTGCTTTCCTCTGCTCTCTTTCATATGTTATCATGAAGTGAAGCAAGGAGACTTGTGATAAGAATAAACACAGTTTTGGGACTGTATCCATATACCTGGTGATGTAGAATTATTAAAATCTTTATTAGAACCTGTATTGAATTATTGTACTAACTCCATTTTGTTCACCTTACATGACAGAATTTCCTGACAGTATTCAGTATAATGAATAAGAGATTGTATTTTCTCTCTCTAAGGACATAACTAGCCCCGGAGTTAGCGGATCTCCGTTGACTTGCAACATAGTATAATCCAAGGCCAGGAGAACAGTGACAAAATGAAATGTTCTATTCATAAAAGAACCTTGGAACAGACCACGAGACTGACATCACTAACTACGTAAAATGACGCCCAAGCCCCCCTTTCCACCGAGTAAGCCTCGTGCTAAAGAGCAATGGCGACGACATCCCATGATGGGAGGGTGCCTCACTAGTCACTCAAATCTCTGAGCCAATTAATAATATTAATGGGTGGACACTGACATAGCCACTTAACATTTAACCCAATTAATGATGTTTATTTGTTATTATCTGATATTCAATGATGATGTCATTTTGCATATAAAAAGGCCTGCGTGCCCACTTTTTAACTAGATGCTAATAAATTTCCTGAAGTGTTTTTAACCTGAACTGCATGTGTCAGTGTGAACTTACTTCTGCGTATACGCAATTTATTCATCTCAGATTTGGACAGGAACAGACAGACTTTTAAACATTTTTGTTTATTTCTAAATTAATCTTGTTCACTGGTATACCATATTTTAATCTTTTTAAAGTACATTATCTGTTTTATAAGTGTTTTTCATCTTATTGATTTAATTTATCATTGTGGTTTTAATATATTTCACCTTCGGCTCATCCCGTAACTTGACTTTTTTGTTCCCATCTCTTTACCTGACATTTTAACTGCACGGCTCACCACTTTTCTATGTTCTAATTCTTCACGACATCTCCCACATTCCTTACCTACCTCTATTAAATTTGTTCTCCCCATTCCTTTCATTGTGAGGTCTTCTATCTCAAACAGTTATGACCACATTTCACCCATGAGCATACTTGTCTTTTTCATTGTTTTTTTACCTTTCATTACTGCACCCCTCTTGTCTATGTTTTCTCCCCATTTATATTGCTCTATGTAGCTCTCTTAAACTGCTATCCTGAGATTTTGCATTTCCACTAATCACCCACAATGGGGTACAATGCTCCAACAGTCATATTGGAAACCAAAGCTGCATTCTAATCCTAATTGTAATTAATATAGTCATTATATGTATCTTCTTTGTATGCGGATTGACACGAAGCTAAGATGGAGATGCCCAGTTACAGGATACAGAGGTGTAGACTTCTATATTTAAATTTTCACACCTCACAAATATATATTTGTTAAATACAAAAGTAGAATTTGTTTTGCCTCTTTCTGTGAAACTTTTTTGGGCCTCATTTCTAACAATGGGGTGGACCCTCATCCAAATGTCAGTCGGCACACTTTGTAAATACAGGGATAGATGAAGAAGATATTACAAATCTGGGGTAGTGACCGGTCCTCTTTAAGCATGTGTAGAAAAAAGTGGGCAGACTAAATTAGCCGATTGATATTACCCTCTAATCATAATATATGTTTGTACGTTTACTACCTCTCTCTAAGCTATCGATGTTCTGTGTGTAGAGGCGCAGGAGTACCCGCTTATCATTCAGGAGACGCAGGAAATGATGCGCTGTGTTAGGTAGGTGGCGGCCTGGAAGAAGATCTTTAGAAAGATCTAAGAAAGCATGTGGCTCCCTTAAGAAGTATCCCAAGTCAAAAATAGCTTCAGGGTACGGAAGGGAGTATTGCTGTAGCTTACTGTACAAACCGCTAGTGGGAGACCTGCAAGAAAAAAAGGAGACAAAATAAAAGGATGAAAAATTTATTTAAAAAAATAAAGAGCTAGATTATTTGAGCAGGACTCTCTCCATCTCTTGTGTCCGTCAACTACTTGCTGAACCAACCTTTGAAATGAGTTGGACTCCATATAAACTTCTAGAGCTAGTAGAAATGAGCATGTCACTATTCTATAACGTAGTGGGGATATACAAACAATAGAAGAGTGTATAACGCTGTACTATGGCTGCACACAAGATGGAGATGGCCCATTTTCCAGCACGAGAGTATACACAATGTCACCTGAAGTCTGGGATGCCACTGTCCGTACTGATACCAGCTCCCACCATAACCAGGATACGCCGGTAAGTGCCTTCCTTGATTCCAAAGGCTACATCCTCCAGTGTTAGGAATGTGTTATTGTCATTTCCTCCTCTGCCAGGAAATCCCGAGCTCCAGCATTTCACCGGACTACAATATAAATCAAACAACACAAGTGAGGCCTTGTAATGATTCATCGAAATATGCAATAAAAGGATTATAGATTCCATTATGTTAAAGGGACACTCCAAACACTGAGGCACTCAGGAGCTGGGTTACTGTAATAAGGAGTTACAGGGTCAGTGATAGAGCAATAAGGCACTCAGGAGCTGGGTTACTGTAATAAGGAGTTACAGGGTCAGTGATAGAGCAATAAGGCACTCAGGAGCTGGGTTACTGTAATAAGGAGTTACAGGGTAAGTGATAGAGCAATAAGGCACTCAGGAGCTGGGTTACTGTAATAAGGTGTTACAGGGTCAGTGACAGAACAATAAGGCACTCAGGAGCTGGGTTACTGTAATAAGGAGTTACAGGGTCAGTGACAGAGCAATAAGGCACTCAGGAGCTGGGTTACTGTAATAAGGAGTTACATGGTCAGTGATAGAGCAATAAGGCACTCAGGAGCTGGACACCCAGAGGGGCTTGGGGGACACAAAGAGACACATCGGGGCTGGGGACTAAAATCTACTGGGGGTTTAGTCGACTAAAACAATTCAGATAACTAAAATAAGACTAAAGCAGACTTGAAATTTGCAGCCAAAATTAACACTGTTGAGCATTCATGGGATGCTGTACATTAAGAAGCTGCAGAATATAATATGTACCTTTTGTGCAAAAATCTGCATTTGTTTGGACGCAGGGTTGCAAATGCTACTTTTTCATAGGGATCAGTCAGACCAACTGCATGCACCCCTCTCACTGTAAGAGAAAGAGGGAATTTATAAGCACACGCAGAAAGCAGAATCTGGAGTTCTGGAAAACAAATGTGTAATAGAACGTTTGTAGCAATGAGAGGGTTAATATTGCTGCTCTAACCTCCAATTATGCCAATATTGGTAATGGTGTCAGGCCTCAGACTTCTCCATTGTTAGTAAGAAAAGGGTGAAGGCAATTAATAATTCTATTAAATAGAAATGAATACATTATAAAATTAAGTAACTATGTAGATAAAAAGTGTACTTTCAGCATTGAAACAAGCTTGGATGCCATTCCCGAAATGTTACTTCCGAGAAATCATTACGGCTATTTTATCCACTATGGACCAGAGAGGTGGGAGAAAATAACCCACAAATCAGAATTATCCAGAAAACCTGGACTTGGATATTAACCAGCGAACGGACAGCGTCTGCCAGAATAATGAAATATGAAAGCATCTCAACCTCGGCTATTCCGGCGCAGTTATTTCGCCTAAAATGTACAAATCCCTGATTATCTCACAAAATTTTCTTTTTTTTTTTTTTAAATGAGAAACTTGTACTATTTGCAAGTCTGTAACAGGCGGGTGTTAATGTGGGAATAATACAGGGCGGCTTTGTAACCATGACGACGATGCCGGTCCAAACAATGAATATTACCTGCCACAAATCGTGCAGTTCGAGCCACCAACATTATCTGTCTGAAACAGTGGCCACTGGAGACCAAGGGCAATGCCTTCACTGTGCACCTATTCATGCATGAGCAGAGCGCTAAACACAAGAGGGACAAAGCCTTGTGTTATGTCTCCACTATGGAGCCATTTTCCTGGAGGTACTTACACTAAATCCCAATATTTCAAATGGAGAAAGAGGGACCCTGTCATTTTAGGGGTGTGAGTGGGGGTGTGGCCAGGGGCGGGGCTGTTCTGAGACATTGTATATGATTTACTAAAAACAATTTATAGAAATAAAATGTAATTTACAACACAAAGTATCTTATTTACACAGACTGATTTCTAAACACATTCATTCTAGTTTAAAGACACATTACTGGGAGTATTATTGATGTGGAGCTCTGTTATACACTCAGACACATTACTGGGAGTATTATTGCTGTGGAGCTCTGTTATACACTCAGACACATTACTGGGAGTATTATTGCTGTGGAGCTCTGTTATACACTCAGACACATTACTGGGAGTATTATTGCTGTTGAGCTCTGTTATACACTCAGACACATTACTGGGAGTATTATTGCTGTTATACACTCAGACACATTACTGGGAGTATTATTGCTGTGGAGCTCTGTTATACACTCAGACACATTACTGGGAGTATTATTGCTGTGGAGCTCTGTTATACACTCAGACACATTACTGGGAGTATTATTGCTGTGGAGCCCTGTTATACACTCAGACACATTACTGGGAGTATTATTGCTGTGGAGCCCTGTTATACACTCAGACACATTACTGGGAGTATTATTGCTGTGGAGCTCTGTTATACACTCAGACACATTACTGGGAGTATTATTGCTGTGGGGTTCTGTTATACACTCAGACACATTACTGGGAGTATTATTGCTGTGGAGCTCTGTTATACACTCAGACACATTACTGGGAGTATAATTGCTGTGGAGCTCTGTTACACACTCAGACACATTACTGGGAGTATTATTGCTGTGGAGCTCTGATATACACTCAGACACATTACTGGGAGACACATTACTGGGAGTATTATACACTCAGACACATTACTGGGAGTATTATTGCTGTGGGGCTCTGTTATACACTCAGACACATTACTGGGAGTATTATTGCTGTGGGGCTCTGTTATACACTCAGACACATTACTGGGAGTATTATTGCTGTGGAGCTCTGCTATACACTCAGACACATTACTGGGAGTATTATTGCTGTGGAGCTCTGTTATACACTCAGACACATTACTGGGAGTATTATTGCTGTGGAGCTCTGTTATACAATCAAACACAATACTGGGAGTAATATTCCTGTGAAGCTCTGTTATACACTCAGACACATTACTGAGAGTATTATTACTGTGGAGCTCTGTTATACATTCAGACACATTACTGGGAGTATTATTGCTGTGGAGCTCTGTTATACACTCAGACACATTACTGGGAGTATTATTACTGTGGAGCTCTGTTATACACTCAGGCACATTACTGGGAGTATTATTACTGCGGAGTTCTGTTATACACTCAGACACATTACTGGTAGTATTAGGAGTATTATTACTATGGAGCTCTTTTATACAATCAAACACAATACTGGGAGTAATATTACTATGAAGCTCTGTTATACACTCAGACACATTACTGAGAGTATTATTACTTGGAGCTCTGTTATACACTCAGACACATTACTGGGAGTATTATTACTGTGGAGTTCTGTTATACACTCAGACACATTACTGGGAGTATTATTACTGTGGAGCTCTGTTAAACTCTCAGACACATTACTGGGAGTATTATTGCTGTGGAGCTCTGATATACACTCAGACACATTACTGGAAGTATTATTGCTGTGGAGCTCTGTTATACACGCAGACACATTACTGGGAGTATTATTGCTGTGGAGCTCTGTTATACACTCAGACACATTACTGGGAGTATTATTACTGTGGAGCTCTGTTATACACTCAGACACATTACTGGGAGTATTATTGCTGTGGAGCTCTGTTATACACTCAGACACATTACTGGGAGTATTATTGCTGTGGGCTCTGTTATACACTCAGACACATTACTGGGAGTATTATTGCTGTGGAGCTCTGTTATACACTCAGACACATTACTGGGAGTATTATTGTTGTGGAGCTCTGTTATACACTCAGACACATTAGTGGGAGTATTATTGCTGTGGAGCTCTGTTATACACTCAGACACATTACTGGAAGTATTATTGCTGTGGAGCTCTGTTATACACTCAGACACATTACTGGGAGTATTATTGCTGTGGAGCTCTGTTATACACTCAGACACATTACTGGGAGTATTATAGCTGTGGAGCTCTGTTATACACTCAGACACATTACTGGGAGACACATTACTGGGAGTATTATTGCTGTGGAGCTATGTTATACACTCAGACACATTACTGGGAGTATTATTGCTGTGGAGCTCTGTTATACACTCAGACACATTACTGGGAGTATTATTGCTTTGGAGCTCTGTTATACACTCAGGCACATTACTGGGAGTATTATTGCTGTGGGGCTCTGTTATACACTCAGACACATTACTGGGAGTATTATTGCTGTGGAGCTCTGTTATACACTCAGACACATTACTGGGAGTATTATTGTTGTGGAGCTCTGTTATACACTCGGGCACATTACTGGGAGTATTATTGTTGTTGAGCTCTGTTATTCACTCGGGCACATTACTGGGAGTATTATTGCTGGGAGCTCTGTTATACACTCAGACACATTACTGGGAGTATTATTGCTGTGGAGCTCTGTTATACACTCAGACACATTACTGGGAGTATTATTGCTGTGGAGCTCTGTTATCACTCAGACACATTAATGGGAGTATTATTGCTGGAGCTCTGTTATACACTCAGACACATTACCGGGAGTATTATTGCTGTGGAGCTCTGTTATGCACTCAGACACATTACTGGGAGTATTATTGCTGTGGAGCTCTGTTATACACTCAGACACATTGCTGGGAGTAGTATTGCTGTGGAGCTCTGTTATACACTCAGACACATTACTGGGAGTATTATTGCTGTGGATCTCTCTTATACACTCAGACAAATTACTGGGAGTATTATTGCTGTGGAGCTCTGTTATACACTCAGACACGTTACTGGGAGTAGTATTGCTGTGGAGTTCTGTTATTCACTCGGACACGTTACTCGTAGTATTACTGTGGAGCTCTGTGATACACTCGGACACATTACTGGGAGTATTTGTGGCGAACGTAACCTCGTCACTGGTTTTTGGAGGGGCCTGTTTGCCAGCCTCCTGCCCTGCGACTATGGCCCTGGGATGTATTGCCCTTCTAGGAACTGATGTGGGCATACTTGATTTTATTATGCTGCTGCTGGCCCTTTAAGAACCATCTAGGGACATACTGTGGAGTTACTGGGTGGCCACCATTTCATGTATCAGAGGCACATGGTGAGAACAATGGATGGCAGCCATTTTAACTCACAGACACTGTTTGGACTTTTCTACGCGGTGCCATCTCGCCAGTATTTGGTGCACAAAGACATCGTGCAGTAGTTTTAAACTATAGAACAGGGGACACATTATACAATAATTTTTTTTTCATATAGCCTGTATATGTTATGCGGAATCTGCATTAAACTGTATCTTCCAAACAACTGAACTGATCTGGGTGAATTTTGGATATGTGGTTCACTCAGATCCCCCGGTTCCGAGGATATATTTTATGGGGTTATTGCATGTTTTGGGGTCCCTGTGATATGTTTGATAATACTGTATTTCTCTGCCTGTGATTATTATATTAACCATTGTGTTCAGTAATCATATCACAGGCAGAGGGGAGGATTTTGTGTGGGAGTGTCTGTGTGTATTGTACGGATTGATTGATTGTATTTCAAAACCCTGTAGGCAGTACTATGTTTGTGGATTGTGAATAAAAGAGGCTGTATGTGCCAGTACAGTCAGTTCTGCTTGACCTCAAAACGAAGTGTCGTCTCGTTATTGGGGGAATTGGATTGTATGCTGATTGCCAGGAGCGTAAGCTGATTGTATGCTTTTCCTGTTCAGCTGCTTACAGCATTCAAATGCTTGAGAGCATTCGTATGCTTCTCCGGTTCTGTGGTTGTGGTGTCTGCTGCAGTGCTTGGAGTCCTCAGGAAGCGCTAGGAGCATCCTTCAATGGAGGTACCCAGTCGGGGTGGGAGTATTATTGCTGTGGAGCTCTGTTATACACTCAGACACATTACTTGGAGTATTATTGCTGGGAGCTCTGTTATACACTCAGACACATTACTGGGAGTATTATTGCTGTGGAGCTTTGTTATACACTCAGACACATTACTGGGAATATTATTGCTGTGGGGCTCTGTTATACACTCAGGCACATTACTGGGAGTATTATTGCTGTGGAGCTCTGTTATACACTCGGACACGTTACTGGTAGTATTGCTGTGGAGCTCTGTTATACACTCAGACACATTACTGGGAGTATTTTTGCTGTGGAGCTCTGTTATACACTGAAACACGTTACTGGGAATATTATTACTGTGGAGCTCTGTTATACACTCAGACACATACTGGGAGTATTATTGCTGTGGAGCTCTGTTATACACTCAGACACATTACTGGGAGTATTATTGCTGTGGAGCTCTGTTATACACTCAGACACATTACTGGGAGTATTATTGCTGTGGAGCTCTGTTATACACTCAGACACATTTCTGGGAGTATTATTGCTGTGGAGCTCTGTTACACACTCAGACACATTACTGGGAGTGTTATTGCTGTGGAGCTCTGTTATACACTCAGACACATTACTGGGAGTATTATTGCTGTGGAGCTCTGTTATACACTCAGACACGTTACTGGGAGTATTATTGCTGTGGAGCTCTGTTATACACTCAGACACATTACTGGGAGTATCATTGCTGTGGAGCTCTTTTATACACACAGACACATTACTGTGAGTATTTTTGCTGTGGAACTCTGTTATACCCTCTCACATATTAGTGGGAGTATTATTGCTGTTATACATTTAGACACAACATCAACAAGGAGCTCCT